TACAATTTTAACATTAACCTTTTTTTAAAACAATAAAACCTCATCTAATTAGTTAAAACCAAGGAAAGAGCCCAGTGTAGTTCATAGAGTTCTGTTATACATTCATAGCAAAAGTCAGAAAGGTAGAATTTTCTTTTCTGTTTATCAGACTGTGAGAAAACTAAACTGTTAAAGAACATTTTAGAGAAGACTTTGGAAAAGGCTGAATATAAAAGGCAGTTATTTCTTGAGTCTTGAGGCTGGGTCTTTGCTTTAAAAAAAAATCAGCGATCTGGAAATGCATTACTGTAAAAATAATCTAGATTGTTTTATGCATTTGGGCTTTTTTTCTTTCTTTTTTTTTTTTTCCTTTTCTTTTCAGGCACTTCTCATAAATGCCAATGAATAAATCACTTTGGAAACTCAATCTGCTGGTGTTATTCACTCTTGCTAATGAATAAATCACTGGCTTAAAAATCTGTAGGGTCAAAAAAAAAATGAGTCTACTGAGTCCAGACATAAACTGATGGCCTAGAATAGAACTTTCAAAGTCTTTTTTATCCCTTATTATGGAGTACAGCTGTCCTTGAAGAGACAACTGGCTCAATCGAATATAATGAAGAGGAGGCCCTCTTTCCTAACCTGCTCCCTTGTCAGATAATCCAGGTGGCCCTGCTTTTTGCTACAGGTGGGAAACTGATGGCAGGATAGAGGGCTCAGCATGCAGTAAACAGTGGCTGTAAAACCTTATTTGACTAAACTTACCCCTTGCAGACTCTGATGAAAGCTACAGGCTGCCTTTCCAGAAAAATGCACATATGTGCATGCAGGAAAAGTTGCCTATCATTTCAGGGGACTTAGGACCCCTGAGAAAGGAAATCACAAATCACAGGATAGGAAACCCTGCACCAGAAGCAGAAGTGGCAGACACACTTGGGTAGTTTCTTGGCATGCAGTATACAGGGTATAGCCCCCAAAGCTGAAGAAGCCAGTTCCTGCTCCGTATGTTCCCAGATTTATCCTTCCTATCATTTTACATTTTCTATTTTTTTCCTTCTGTTTTCCACTTTGGACTAGATAATGCAAGCATTTGACAAATATATTTTTTAAAAGTACCTAAGGATATTCAGGCCCCCTCCCAGAGGCACCCATTATTAGCAGTTTCTAGTGTATCCTTTCAGGAATATGCTAATCATGTAAGTACATATAATATTCTCCTTCTTTCTCAAATGGCAGCATACTTCCACATTTTTTTGTAATATGTTTCTCCCTCCTTATCTCTATATTGTAGAAATTATTTGCTGTTCCGACTTTAAGCTCCACTTCATTCTTTTTCCATGCAGCATAATATTGCATCCTGTGGCTAAACCATAATTGATTTAATGTGACTCTACTTAATGAACATTTAGTTGGTTTCCAGTATTTTAATTTTATTTTATATTTTAAAATATGCTTCTTTTATCTTTTATTTTAATTTATTTTTTTGGTGGCTGGCTAGTATGGTCCAGTATTTTTTTAAACTACAAAAAATGGTGCAGCATATGTCTTTGTGTTTTTATGAAAGTATACCCATGAGATAAATTCCTAGCAGTGTCATTGCTGAGCCAAACTAAAAATTTTGATAGACATTATCAAATTGCTCTCCCGGGAAGTTATATGTGATAGGCAGAATAATGGCCCCCAAAGATGTCCATGTCCTGCTCCCTGAAACCTGCAAATATGTTACTTTACAAGATAAAAGGAAAATAAAGGTTGCCCATGGAATTAAGGTTGCTAATTAGCTGACCTCAAAATAGGGAAATTGACCTGGATTATCTGGGTGATCTCAATGTAATCACAAAGATCCTTAAAAGTGGAAGAGAACTGGAGAGATGATAGCATGAAAAGGACTTGGCTTGATGTTGTTTTTGAAGATGTAGGACGGGAGCTTTGAGCCAAGGAATATGCACAGCCTCTAGAAGCTAGAAAAGCAAGGAAACAGAAAAGGCAAGGAATGCAGCCCTGCTGGCAACTCAATTTTAGCCCAATGAGATCTGTTGGACGTCTCATCCACAAAACCGTAAGACAATAAATTTGTCTTATTTTAAGACCCTAAATTTGTGGTAATTTGTTACAGTAGCCATAGAAAACTAATACATTATATGTATTTATACTTCCATCCATGATGTGTGTGTTTCTCCACACTCCTTCCATTAGTGCCTTCTTTTTTTTATATTCTTCCATTATATGAAAAGAAATGTGTATAATTTTGTCTTACAATTTTTTTTTTAGTTAAAAGGAAAAGTGCAGCCATAGTTATCTGTCATATTCTTGTTCTTTGCTAATTCACTCTGGAAAATTCCTGTTTGGCCATATTTCATTTTCTTGTTTGGGGCAAGGATCTGAGCAGGATATGCTGATGTGTCATTTCTGCAATGCTGATGTCATTGCTGATCAAGCTGCATTGCAGAAACACTGTGGGAGCAGAAGTTGTTCACTGGAGTTGATTTGTTTGCTGCCACGAAGAGGTACCTACACAGGTAATAAAGCCATTTTCTTGAAGTGGTGACAGCCCAATCACTGAAGGGCTTTACTTGGCCTCCCACAGAGGTGATGGCTTCAATGATTAATTACTTTGCAAGATGGTCCAGAGGCATTGCATATGTAGTAACTTCCACATCTCCATAGCAGCTGGGGGCCTCAGGTGACTATGGTGGAAAAAATTAAAAGTTTAATTTCCTATCAACTTATTTAATATTCTCAAGGCAGACTAGCAGAAGTAGCTGTGCCTGGTCCTTTCTCATTCTGAATATTTAGTTTGCCTGATGTGGTGGGACCTCCTCTTACCCATGTACATTAATTCCTACAGACTGGCTTGACCAACTCTGCACTTAACATCTATTCAAAGATATTTATTGAGCATCTGCTATGCTAGGTATTTAGGATACACTTGGTCATGCAGAGTTTACAGATTATGGAGACAAACAGTAATCAACAATCACAGGAATAAATGTAAAACTGCTCTTGTGGCAATTACTACAAAGAGGAGCTACATATATTTTTAATAGTGAGATTCCACCTTGTCAAGAAGAGTGGAAGAGAGGCCTGGGTGAGACACGTAAATCTGTGCACATGTGTTATCAATATCTACACTGGATGACATCTTAGGAAAAGGGTAAACAGGAAAGAAAAGGTCCTAGAAATGTTGCTTAGCCGGGTAGAGATGGATAAACAGAGACAGAAAGAACAACCAGAGGGCTACTAGAGCCCACGGAAGTGGGCTGTGTCCTAGAAGCCAAGTAAGGAGAGCCCAGTTATATCAAGGGTTAAGGACTAGGAGGAGCATAGGATGAGACATTGTGTCTCTCAGGATTGATAGGATGTCAATGTTGCAGGGGCAGTGATGTGGTAGGGCACACCTGGATTCAAATGTGGCTGTTCCTCTTATTAGTTATTAGTGGCCTTAGGCAAAAGGCTGTCTGGCTTCAGATTCCGCATCTATAAAATAGGGATAATAACATCTCCCACAAAGAGTTATTGTGGGGATGAAATGAATCAGAATATGCAATGTGCCTAGTACTTTGTAGGTCCTCAATAAAAATTGATGTCCGCCTTCCATTATACCTTTGGCTACTTATTTATTAATCTGTTTTAGTTGTCACTCTCCTTGATGTCTGAGCATTGGTGTTGGTGACTTACCCGTGAGGATCAATGCAGGCCTTGTCCCCATATTTCACTGTATTAGTCTGAGTGCCAATAAGCTGTTGCGAGGCAACTGTAGGGATCCAGGCACCTACCCGGGTATCTCTTGGTATGCAGAGAGACAGACCACTAGGGATTGATAAGTACACTATATGCTCTCCTTCACCACACTGAGCTCTTCCTTCTAATTCTCATCTCAGGCTATCTTTCTGCACTATTTCCCAATTGCATAAATCTCCAATGCAAAATATTAGTAATATATGACTCAACACAATTTAGGATTTTTATTTTTTTTTCCAGAAACAGCATTGGCCCTCCGAGATTTTTCAGATTGCCTAAAAGCAGCCACTGCCTCCTTCCATCCTTCAGTTTTGCCTATCAAATACAGTGAGCGGAAAAAATGCGATTTCCCCTACCGGTTAAGAACTCTTTTTCTTCCTGCCGCCTCTGATGATCTTTACAGTGTAACCGTGGCTTTGGCAAACACAGTAACTATTCATTGGGAGATAATGTAATTCAGTTCTTGCCTTAGATTAACTAAACCCCAGAAAAGGCTGAACAATGCTATGAACAGAGAGTGTGACAAATATTTCTATTGTTGCTAACACGGGATACCTATTTTTCAAATCTTTTTTAAGCATTATCCTTGTATTTCCAATTAGCATACCGTTTAATTTCTTGTTATTGGCGGTGGCTATGTCTTCCGAACCAAACGTGGGGACACAACATTCAGTGAGTAGGAGTCCCCTTTAGGGGACAGGCAACTATATTAAACTGCAATTGTTACAGAAATCCCACGGCTTGGGAGTCGTGTAGCTATTAAAAATGGGTAGTATTTAAGTTATGACGGAGCTGTGACCTCATTCCATCTTTAGAATGGAAACCGTAAACATCTTAACATAGTGATTGGGGCCATAAAGATAATTGATGGAAAGAAAACTAGGCCTCGTAGCATCTCCCGATTTGGCTGCCACGCCAGCACCAGGCCAACCTCTCCGGCTAGGGCACCGCCCGGGAAGCCGACCCGCGACCGCGAGGTCCAAGCCGGGAACAGAGCGCGCGCGCCTGCGCCGGGGCTCCCTCGCGTTCCGGGGTGGAAGGTTGCGCGTTTGAGTGTCCATGGCAACGCGACGCTTCCGCCTTCTGGAAGCCTACACTCCAGCTCTGGTTGTGAGAGACCCGTCCCGGTGGGAGGGACCTGGGCTGGGGGACGGATGGGGGTACGAGGGGCTCGGGGGCTGGGGAAGTTCCCGGGAACATTTGTCCTTGGTCTTGAGCTAAACTAAGAAAAATTGGTCCAAGGTTTGGCACAAAAGGATCTTTTCATTCCATTCCTTTCGCCCGCGTCGGAACGATGCCTCTGGAGGTGGTGGTGGAGCTGCAGATCCGGGCGGTAAGAGCTCCCCTGCTTAACCCCAAGTCAGACTCTTAAATGGTCCTGCTGGTTCTCACCACCCTGCCCTCACTTACCGCACACACATCATTATCTTTTGGGAGAATCTGTACCTTTGTCCCTAAGATAGTCGACGTTGGTCTTTCCCGACTTCCTAACTTTTAATTCAGCGCAATCTGTTACAACTCTTTTTTTTTTTTTTTTTCTTCTTCTTCTAAAGTCAGCCTGTTTCTTAGATTTATCCTGAATCTTTCTGTTCTTTTAAAAGCAACCCGGGGGCCAGCCTGTGGCTCACTCGGGAGGGTGCGGTGCTGATAACACCAAGGCCACAGGTTCGGATCCTATATAGGGGTGGCCGGTTCGCTCACTGGCTGAGCGTGGTGCTGACGACACCAAGTCAAGGGTTGAGATCCCCTTACCGGTCATCTTTTTAAAAAAAAAAAAAAAAAAAAAAGCAACCCTGCCTTAAGTCCAAGTAGAATTTTCTTTTGTTTTCCAGGCTAAAGATTTGTGAAAGGATTTTAAAACTTCTCCTTTAAATAACCAGGGAATAATTTAATTTTATAAAGCCCCATCACTTCCTGATAATTTGCCACCTCTACGAACCAATCAAATACGAGGGTAGTTCAGAAAGTTCGTGGGAAAATGGAATTAAAAGATAATACAAATCTTTCTATGAACTTTCTGAAGACCGCTCGGTTTCCTAAGCTGTTTCCCCTTGGATTGGCTCTGGCTTGCTAATTCGAAAAGGAAAACCAATCAACAAATGTTTTATAATTATACACCAAATATTTCCTCAGTGAGGTACTGTAGCAGAGTGACTCCATTGTTCCTATTTGAGGTAAGTCATTCCTCTTATTTTAGGTTCCATTTTTCCATCCTTTCATCTGTAGTTAGTGACAGACTGTTACGCAGCTTTGCCTATAAGCTACTGGCCAACATTACAAGCTAACAGGATACTGCCATGGAAAATCTAATTAGCCTCCATACAATTGGCAAATGCTGTGGTTTTATCATACATGTGTCTCTGAAACGAAAGTGAACAAAATTTCCTGGATTTGTCTACTTTGCTGACAGCAAACAGGGCTGACCATATCAATTATGCTATATCCATCGCAAGCTCTTAATATTGTGCAGGAAGATGAAGGAACCATTGAGAAGCTGAGTGATCAGTCTCCCTCCCCAACATGGCAAATTAAATAAGATTCCATCTCACTTCATTCAACATTATTGGTTAATTTTATTGTAATCTTTAAAAGGAATTCCTCAATGTACAATTAATTAAATCAGTTTTCTACTCTAAAGTACTTAAGATGTTCCAAAAATATCAGTTGAATTTATCTGTGCATTAAAAGCCAGCAAACTCAGGCCCCAGCAGCTAAAACAGGGAATTCCCAAAGTATAACTACAAACCAGAAGATAAGTCTAATTCCAAGCCACTAATATTCAGATTTGTGGACACTGCAATAGGAAATATCACGGATTCCAAATATCGGACCTGAATATTGCTGCAATTAAAATAAAAGATCTCTTTAAGGTTCAACAACAAACACAAATCACCTAGAACTTAACAGTTTGGCTGTAAATTTAGCAAGTGAAGAGGTAGCTAGTGTTCGTGGTGTTGTGGGAATACAAATGATTTTGTTTTATTTTGGAATAGCTGTTCCTCTTTGAGTGTGCCCCTCACTCTCAGAAAGTTTATGCTTCCACCTAATCTGAGCCTATTTATCACAGTCATTCTCCAGGTTCTTATCCACACCTCTATATGTCAGATCAAAGTCTATAATCCTTTCTGCTTCTAAATGCCAAAATAATTGGTCGTTAAGATTATCTCAAGACACCAGTTCCATAGGTAATTTAAAGTTTTTCTTTTCAGGTAGAGGAGCATTTAAAGCACATACCCTTTTCAGTTTTTCCAGGTCAAAGAATAATGAGCAAAACCCATCCTGTGTTTGGCGGTCTTTGGTCATATGATTTGGAGAGGCACCATGGATGAACAACTTTAAATGTAAAGGTCAATGTAAACAGAAACTTAGGAGTTATACCTTATGCCTGGTGTAGCAGCAGGCTCCCCTGATGAATTTCAAGTTAAATACTGTTACCTAAAGCATACTGTATACAGGAAAATGAAATCCCCTAAGAAAAACTGTAGTATACAGGGTCATCCTTGTGGTACATATGAGAAAGCTTATGCTCTTGCATTGAAAAGAACCACATTAATTTCCCATTTTATTATCCTGATAGAGGAACATTATTCTTTATTGAGAAGAGAGGATGGGCAACAGGGTTCCATCTGCTGCCATACTGGTCATTGATGTATGTGGTCAGCTTACCCCCAAACTCTTAGTTCCCCTGACTTTCCCCAGCAATTTAGCTTCTCTGCCCTCTGTCATGCCATGTTATTAGTTGTCAACAGAATTAAGCATGAGGCCATAGTCCCATCCTTCCTTTCCTGTGGGCACCTTAGATATGCCTACCTTTTAAGTGTTTCTTCTTGAAGTAAGTTCTTGGCTTGTTCTCTGAATGCTAAATGACAGTGTTAGAGAGTAGTGGGGAAAATACTGAAATATCTTTTGAGGGGTAGAGGGAGAGGAGAGAAAGACAAGAATTATAATCTCTCACTATTCAATCCACAAAAATGGAAGATTTAATAAAGTAAACAAGCTTACCAAGAAAATCAGGATTTAGAAGAAATCTCACCAACTGTGGCAACAGATCTTCGGGGAATAAACGAGAAAAACCTATGTCAGACTTTAAAAATACTGTTTAAAATCTACCTCAGGAAAAGGACTAGGATTAGTACATGGCTTAGCTGCAAGTATATTTACGGAATGAAGATCATGTTTTTTTCTCAAAGTCCAATTTGCAAGTGATGTGTTGATTTATGGGATTATTACAAAACACAAATCTTACTGATGTCAGCTTTTAAAAAAATAGCAATAGTATAACCACCTCAGGTTGTTTTCTTTTGCAGTTGTCCTGGAGATATAAAGTCGTTGAATAAATATACAATAGAGGGATTTTTTTGCTTTTCCTAATATGGCTGTGTTCAGTAATGGCCTGTACTGTGCTCCAGCCTAGCAACACATCAAAATGACACCTGAAATCCCAAAGAAAAGCTGAAATGTCTAAGAGAGGCAAGCCCTATGGCATCATTGAATGTGGAAACATTCAGACCTCCTGGTGCAATAATCAATAAGATGGTGTCATGGTTCATTCCACAGTACAAAGAGGACCGGCACGTTGTGGGGTGAGAGCCAGCAATAGTCCACGATGCTGTACTGCATGTAGCCCAGAAAAAGGCCAAAAGCCACGTCGGTGACATTGTGCCGCCCCAGCATGACCCTGGAGAGGCCCAAAATGAAGGCCCACAGTACCACCAGCACCCTCAGCGGAATGGCCAGCACCAGGTGATTCAGGATGAACCGAGACACCAGGGCAGCCCTTGTGGCATGGCCAGAGGGAAAGGAGTACTTGTCTACCGAGAGGGTGAAAAACATGTCCATCTGGTTGTGGGCCGGGCGGCGCCTGCGGACCAGCCCTTTGATCAGGGCCACCAGCAGCAGGTCCAACAGCAGGGCGAAGAGCAGGTTCATCAGCACCTCGCGCCCGGCCCAGCTGTCGCTCCTGGAAAGGCAGTAGAGGGTGCCCAGCAGCCAGGGGATGCCGTGTCCGGAGATCTCCAGCAGCTTCATAAGGGGCCGCCCGCTGCCCCAGGACGAGCTCTCCCCCGCGCACACCCCCAGCTTCTTGGACAGCCACAGGTCGATGGCCAGCAGGGAGCGCAGGGCGATGCCCAGGAAGGAAGGGTTCAGGTCCATGCGGTCCTCCTCGGGCAGCGGGGCCCCCTGCGAGGGGCCGGGGGCGGCCAGGGGGAAGGAGCCGCGGCGGTGCACCGGGCTCTCGGACGCGCGGAGCCGGGCGCAGGTGGGGTCCGCGACCGGAGCGCGGCTGCTGAGCAGGGACTGGAACTCGAACCTGTTGCAGCCGCCGCCATGGGCCGGGCTGCCGGGGCTGTTGCTGCTGCTGCTGCTCGAGGCGGAGGCGCCCAGCGGCCGTCCCTCCACGCTCCTCCGGGGACTCGGCATCGCGGCGGGCGGCCCCGATCCCGGGACCTGGCCGGACGAATGAGAGGCTTCCCGGCCCTGAAGCCTCTTCCGCTTCCGCACCGCCATCCTGGAGGGGCGGGGAGAGGAGCAGGCGAGAGCGCGACTGTGACACCTGGCGGAGACGTGGAAGGGAACTGGACTTGCCAGTATGGGACAGGAGGGGGAGGACGTTGCTGCTGGGAGGTGCAGGTGAGGGAGTGTGGCAAGGGGGGATATTTCAGGGCCTGGAAGGTTAGGAGAAATAGAGCCCCGTTTATCAAAACAAAGCAAATTGCTTTTTTCCCTTTCTCTGTTTGTTGTTTTTCTTTTAAAGGTTTCTTGCCCGGGGGTGTTCCTGCCTGGCAAGCAAGATGTATACCTCGGGGTCTACCTCCTGAATCAGTACCTGGAGACAAACTGCTTCCCCCCTGCGTTCCCTATTACGGTTCAGCAGAGCATGAGATTTGAAAAGGTGATTTTGACTTTCTCATTGGGTTTTGCTGTCTGAAGATAATCCAGTAGTTCTTATGAAGAACACAGCTCTTACAACGTTATTTTGTAAATTTCCTTTAAAAAATTTAGCCAAAGACACTTCAGCACGTGCAAAACCACAGGTGGAAGACTTGCTTTTGCATTGCAGGTCTGAGCCAAGTTCTGTCAATCTAGTGCTAAATACCCTGATCCATGTTTTCTATTCTTGGAACTCCCATGGCATTTTCTAACTGGAGCAGAGAGATCATTTCTGAATGTTCTTGAGGTGTTAGAAGCAGTTGCATTACATTTATGAAAGGGATTATCAATACACTGCAGACCTCAGAAAAAACTTTTCTAGACCCAGAAAAATAGTGAAAAACTGTGAGGGTACTTCAAAAAGTTCGTGGACAAATAGAATTAAAAGGTAATACAAATCTTTGCAGGAGCTTTTGAAATACCCTCATATAACCAAATTAGTTAAATCCTGTTACTGAAATCCTCTTAACAAAACAAGAGGGTCATTTAGGTTTACTGAGTTTCCCTAGGTCATACCTGGTTTATTTAGCTACAGTGATAAAGGCTAGATTCCATTTGAATGAATACGATCATGAAACAAATAGCCAAAACATTACCAACTGTCTTACCACTTGAAAATTTAATAGAATATTAATTTCATTACTGTGCAATTACTGACAATCCCTTAAAATTTTTGTTTTGGAATTTGGATATGGAATGGGTTTTAACCTCAATAAGTCTAGTGATTTTGCCCCAAGCAATATCACTGAGGTGGATCTTTTGGGGAGAGAGAAGGCTCCAGGGTAGAACATATCACTTTTAAAGGTTTAGAATATGGTGCCCAGAAAGTGACCTGAGGATGCGAGAGGAGATGAAGATGAATTTTTCTGAAGGGCTAGGGTTGTATGTAATATTTTTATAAATCGCAACCTATTAATTTAAATTAAGAATTACCGAACTGGTTGGATAAAAGAGGAGGGAAATAAATAGCTATTATCTTGGAACATCCAATCAGAATCTGAAGGAACCTACTTCTCCCATTTGGATGTTGAAAGTGGTGAAAAGTAGGTAGTGACAATGCAGTCTTTTTTCCCCTAAGAATTCCTTTTTTATCAATTTTATCAGTTTTTAATTTGTCCTGTAGAAGACTTTTAAAGTCTTGTTATAAGAAGACCAAAAATACAAAATTGTAGAAGCACAGAATGATAACTCTGTATATGACCTTGGAGGGTCATCTAGTTCACCTCCTTGATTTGTAGCAGAAGATAGTGAGTCTCTGAGTCACATTTTAGATGCCCCTACTGCTTGTTTAAAAGCTGTACATTTAAGATCACTAGCCAAATGTATCAGAACTATTTTTTCATTTTATAAAGTGCAGTTAAATAATTGCCCTCTTATGTGAGTTGTTTGGGTTCGTATTCCAGCTTTCTTCCAGTTGGTTCTAGCTTTCTTGTGTTAGTTCCATTCTCTAGCTGCAAATACTTGCAGCAAGTAGCAAAATCATTTTCTCTTCCTTGTGCCTTCTGTGTAATTCAGGATTGAATATTGTAAAGCATTTGGATAAACAAATTGCTCATAAAAAATGTATCAGCCATTGTGTTCGAGCAGTTTATGTTGATCATTTACTCCCCAAGATCACACTTGAAAAAAAATTCTTAGACATGAGTATACTAGTTTCCTAAGGTTGCCAGACAAAAGTATCACAAACTGAGTGGCTTAAACAGCAGAAACTGTCTCACAGTTATGGAGATTAGAAATCTGAGATCAGTGTCAGCAGGGCCATGCTCCCTCTGAAGACATTAGGGAAGAATCTGTTCCAGTCCTCCTTTCTAGATTCCATTAGTTCCTTGGTTTGTGACAGCATAATGCCAGTATTAACATGGTGTATTCTCTGTGTACATTTTGTTAAAAACATTTTTTGGGGGAAACCATAAGGCTGAGGTGACACCAGTGCTGTAAGTTCCTTTTGTTTTTTTGACTCTTAAGATTTGAAAGGTATCTTCAAAGTTACCTGATCAATTACTGTACCCACTGGTTAGCCTGTCTCCCATTTCCAAGAGGAGAAAATAGTAGATAGGTAGGTAGACCGACCATTCAGCCAAATAAGAGGATGAAAATGAATTTTCTTTTTTGTGGTAAAGGCAGACAGTATTATTATTTTTTAATTTTATTTTTAAATTCTTTCTTTCTTTTTTTATTTTTTCTTTTTTTATTGACACATAATTGATTCTACACATCTGTAGGGTACAGTGTTGAATATCAATACCTGTGTACCATACATGATGCTCAAATCGGGATAACAGTATGTATAAGTCTGAGTTACACAATGTAATAATTTTTTGTGGCCCTTTACAAATTTCTCGCTAACCCCCCTACCCACTTTCCCATCTCTAGTGGCCTCAGTTCTGTTCTCTGCTTTTGAAAGTTCACCAAGTTGTTTGTGATTGTTTTATCTTTCTATTAATTTGTTTATTTATTTATTTTTATTTGTTTATTTCTTTAGCTCTCACTTATGAATGAGGGCCTGTGGTACTTCTCTTTCTGTGCCTGGCTTATTTCACTTTACATAATTTTCTCTAAGTTCATCCATGTTGCTGTGAATGGCAAAATTTCATTCTTTTTTATGGATAGAGTGGTATTCTATTGTGTATATATACCACATTTTCCTTATTCAGTCATCTGACGATAGACATTTAGGTTGGTTCTGACTCTTGGCTATTGTAAATAGAGTTGCAATAAGCATAGGAGTTCAGGCGTCCTTTTGACATGATGATTTTCATTCCTTTGGGTATATACCCAGCGGTAGGATTGCTGGATCATATGGCAGTTCTATCTGTAGTTGTTTGAAGAACCTCCATACTGTTTTCTATAATAGCTGCACCAATTTACAGTCCCACCAACAATGTAGGATTCCCCTTTTTCCACATCCTCATCACCAGCATTTGCTATTCTCTGTCTTTTTGATAATAGCTAGTCTAAGTGGGGTGAGATGATATCTCAGTGTGCTTTTAATGTATTTGCATTTCTCTGATGTTTAGTGATGTTGAGCATATTTTCATGTGTCTGTTGTCCATTTGTATGTCTTCCTTTGAGAAATGCCTATTCAGCTCCTTTGCCCATTTTTAATTGGGTTACTTGTTCTTTTACTGTTAGGTTGTTTGAGTTCTTTGTACATTCTGGGTATTAATCCTTTGTCAGATGCATAGTTTGCAGATATTTTCTCCCATTTTGTAGGTTACCTTTTAGCTCTGTTAATTGTTTCTTTTGCTGTGCAGAATCTTTTAAGTTTGATATAATCCCATTTGTTTATTTTTTCTTTTGTTGCCTGTGTTTTGGGGGTCTTATTCATAAAGTCTTTGCTCAGTTCTACTTCTTGAAGTGTTTCCCTTATCTTTTCTTTTAGGAGTTTTATAGTTTCAGGTCTTATATTTAAGTTTTTAATACATTTTGAATTGATTTTGGTAAATGGAGAGTTGTAAGGACCTGGTTTCATTCTTCTACATATGGATGTCCAGTTTTCCCAGCACCATTTATTGAAGAGTCAGTCTTTTCCCCAGTGTATGTTCTTGTTGACTTTGCCAATGATCAGTATGTATGTGGGTTGATTTCTGGGTTCTCTATTCCATTCCATTGTTCTGAGTGTCTGTTTTTATGCCAGTATCATGCTGTTTTGGTTACTGTAGCTTTGTAGTGTACTTTGAAGTCAGGTAGTGTAATACCTCTGGCTTTATTTTATTTGCTCAGGGTTGCTTTGGCTATTCAGGCTCTTTTGTTGTTCTGTATGAATGTTCGGATTGTTTTTTCTATTTCTCTGAAGAATGTCATTGGTATTTTGGTGGAGATTGCATTCAATTTGTAGGTCACTTTGGGTAGTATGGATATTTTCACAATGTTAATTCTCCCAATCCAATAGCATGGAATGTCTTTCCATCTTTTTGTGTCTTCTTTAATTTCTTTTAACTATAGAATATTGTAGAGATCTTTCATCTCCTTGGTTAAACTTATTCTTAGGTATTTTGTTTCTTTGGTGATCATTGTAAATGGACTTACTTTCTTGATTTCTTTTTCTGCTAGCTTATTATTGGCATATAAAAATGCTACTGGTTTTTGCGTGTTGATTTTGTATCCTGCAACTTTACAGAATTTGTTTAGCAGCTCTAAGTTTTTTTTGTTGTTTGTTTGTTTGTTTGTTGTAGTCTTTAGGTTTTTTTTTTCTCTATAGGATCATGTCATCTACAAACAGGGACAGTTTAATTTTGTCTTTTCCAATCTGGATGCACTTTATTTCTTTCCCTTGCCTGATTCCTTTTGCTAGTACCACCAATACTAGGTTAAAAGCAGTGGTGAGAGTGGGTATCCTTGTCTTTGTTCCTGTTCTTAAGGGAAAAGCTTTTCAGCTCAAAGTTTTTCCCTATTGAAGATGATATTGGCAGTGGGTTTGTCACATATGGCTTTTATTGTGTTGAGATTCTTTCTTTCTATACCTAATTTGCTGAGAGTCTTTATCATAAAAGGATGGTGAATTTTGTCAAATGCTTTTTCTACATCTATTGAGATAATCATATGGTTTTTGTCCTTAATTTTGTTGATGTGGTATACCACATTTATTGACTTGTGTATGTTGAACCATCCTTGCATCCCTGGGATGAATCCCACTTGATCATGGAATAGAATTTTTTTGATGTGTTGTTGTATTCTGTTTGCTGATATTATGTTGAGGATTTTTGCATCTATGTTCATCAAAGATATTGAGCTGTAGTTTTCTTTTTTTGTTGTATCTTTGTCTGATTTTGCTATCAGGGTGATGCTGGCCTCATACAATGAGTTTGGGAGATTGGCCTCCATTTCAATTTTCTGGAATAGTTTGAAGAGAATTGGTATTAACTCCTCTTTGAAGATTTGGTAGAATTCAGCAGTACAGCCATCTGGTCCTGAGCTTTTCTTTGATGGCAGACTGCTGATTACTGCTTCAGTTTTTATCTTATTTGGCAACTGGCCAACACAGGAACTGAACCGTTGACGTTGTTAGAAGGCTACACTCTAACTAACTGAGCTAATCCACCAACCCTGCTTCAATATCATTGCTTGTTACTGCTTTGCTCAGGTTTTCTGTTTCTTCTTGATTCAGTCTTGGTAGTTTTGTATGTGTCCAGAAATTTATCCATTTCCTCCAGGTTTTCAAATTTGTTGGTGTACAGTTGTTTATGATAGTCTCTAAGGATTCTTTGTATTTCTGTGGTGTTAGTTGTAATGTCTCCTTTTTCATTTCTGAGTATTGTTATTTGGGTCTTCTCTCTTCTTTTTTTAAGTAGCCTAGGTAATGGTTTGTGTATTTTGTATATCTTCTCGAAAAACCAACTTTTTCTTTCATTGATCTTTTACGTTATTTTTGGGGTTTCTATTTCATTTAATTCTTCTCTAACCTTAATTATTTCTTTCCATCTGCTAATTTTAGAATTGGATTGTTCTCGTTTTTCCAGTTTTCTGTGGCATAGCCTTAGGTTGTTTTTTTGAAATCTTTCTATTTTTTTGATGGAAGTGTTTATTGAAATAAACTTCCCTTTTAGTACTGCTTTTGCAGTATCCCACAGGTTTTAGTATGATGTGCCTGTATTTTCATTGGTTTCAAGACATTTTTTGATTTCCTGTTTAATTTCTTCTTGGACCCATAGGTCATTTTGAAACAGGTTGTTTAATTTCCACGTATTTGTATAGTTTCCAGAGTTTCACTTATTATCAATTTCTAGTTTTAATCTGTTGTGGTCCAAAAATATAGTTGAAATGATTTCAACTGTCATATAGTCTATCCTGGAGAATGTTCCATGTACTGATGAGAAGAATGTGTATTCTGTAGTTGTTGGATAAAATGTTCTGTACATATCTGCCAGGTCCAATTGGTCTAAAGCTTAGTTTAAATCCTGTATTTCCTTATTGATTCATAGCCTTGATGATCTGTCCAATGCTGAGAGAGAGGTGTTCAGGTCCACAACTATAATCATTTGGGGGTCTTTTTCTTTCTTTAGGTCTAGCAGTGTTTGCATTATATGTCTGGGTTCCCTGCTGTTGGGTGCATGTACATTTAAGATTGTTATGTCTTCTTGGTTGATGGATCCCTTTATCATTATGTAATGGCCTTCTTTGTCTCTTTATGGTTTTTGGTTATAAAGTCTATTTTATCCAATATAAACATAGCTACTCCTGCTCATTTTTGGTTTCCATTCGAGTGGTATATATTTTTCCATCCCTTTGCTATTAGTCTGTGTGTGTCTTTACAGGTGAGGCAAGTCTCTCATAGATAGCACATAGTTGAGTCTACTTTTTTAATGCAATCAGTCAGTCTGTGTCTTTTGAGTGGGGAGTTTAATCCATTTACATTTAGGGTTGTTACTCACAAATATTGTCTCAATTTGGCATTTTATTGATTTTTGTTTAGTTTTTTAAAATATCTTTTGTTCTTTTCTTCCCCTTTTATTGTCTTTCTTTGGTGTTTGTTGCTTTTTTGAGGTCATAAGATATAGTTTCTTTTTCTTTCTCATTTGCGTTTTGGTTCTACCAGTAGGTTTTATCTTTCTTGTATATTCATGGTAGTAATTATCATTTTTTGGATTCTTGATGCAGGACTCCCTTAAGGATTTCTTGCAGGACTGGTCATGTGTTGGTGAACTCCTGTAGTTTTTGTTTGTCTGGGAAATACACCATTTCTCCTTCATTTCTGAAGGATAGCCTTGCTGGGTATAGTATTTTTGGTTGGCAGTTTTTGTCTTCCAGTATTTTGAATATATCATCCCATTTTCTTATGGCCTGTAGAGTTTCTGTTAAGAAGTCTGCTGTTACTCTGATGGGGTCTGCCTTATAGGTGATTTGACCCTTTTTTCTTGCTGTTTTTAGGATTCTGTCTTTGTCTTTGAGCTTTGCCAGTTTGACTATAATGTGTCTCAGAGAGGATGTTTTTGGATATAATCAGTTTGGGGGTCTTTGAGTCTCCTGGATTTGAAGGCCCATGTGTCTCCCTATACCTGGGAAGTTTTCTGCTGTTATTTTATTGAATGTTTTTAGTGCCTTTCTCCTCTCTCTTTTCTCCTCCCCTTCTAGATTTGGATGTTTTGTGCACTTAAGGTTGTCTGCTAATCCTCTTAGATTTTCTCCATTTTTTAAAATTCTTTTTTTGTTGTTGTTGTTGTTGACCTGGGTTATTGAAAAGAGTATGAGAAAGTCTTTTCTCAAGATGAGAAAGTCTTTCTTCTGCTTGCTGTAGCCTGCTGCTTAAGTTCTATTTTTGTTGTTGTTGTTGTTGTTGAATGTATTCTTCAGTTCCAGCAGTTCTGTTACATTCTTTTTTAAGGTATTAATCTCTTTGGTAATCTGGTAGAGCAGGTGCTTCTTCTATTACTCTGGGGTGGGCTTTGAGGGGAGAGCCTTCCTCCTGAAGATGTGTTTTATGTTGACCATTGAATAAGTCAACAAGTAGGCCTGTTGGCACTCCGTCTAGTTTCCCTTATCCTGCTGGGTGCATTGGGTATACTGGAGCTCTTCAGTTTGAATGGGTGACCCTGGGTGGGGTTTCTTTCTTCTTTCCTACAGTCATTGGCTCCTCTTGGGTCTTTGCTTCCCTGAGTTGGGGGATGAGTTTGTTGTGGTTAGGAATTTTCTTCCTTACTCTATTTGACTATCCTGGGTTTCTTCATTCTCCAGGGGTTCCACCTGTGTCTCTCCCCAGATCAAGGCATTTATGTGGGCCATACACATACCTCCCACCCCCATGTGTGCTACCACAGAGGGCAGCATAATTCCCCCTGTAGGCTGGCCCACTTTCCCCAGCCTCTGCTGGTGACCATTCTTCTATTACTGCATGATGGTGGTGGCTGCTGCTGTGGCAGTGGGCTGCCATTACAGTGGTGATGGCTGTGGCAGTGGCTGTGGCAAACCACCTGTGCAGTGGTGTCTGTGGCAGTGGCAGGCTGCCTGCACTACAATGCCCAATGTTCCTGTCAGCTGTCTGTGGGGGCTTCCCTCAGCTCCTGAGGTTCCCATACTCCTGTGGTCCCCATGCTCTTTCAGGCTGTCTTACATTCCTTCATAATCTTTCTGAAGTCCAATGTAAATAATAACACAAAACTAGAGACTTTACCAATCAGAAACTACAATTAACTGGTAACTAGGGTCTTTCCAATCAGATGTATCCTCTTTGTCTTATTTCCACATTAGCCTGTGAAAGCTCACTGCCCATGCTGCAGCAACAGAGCTCTCTGAACCTCTGAACCTCTTTTGGTACTGAGTGATGCTCAGTTCATTCTTTGCACAAATAAATTCTGTTAAATTTGTCTAATGTTTTTCTGTTAATAGTTCCTGTGCTCAAATTTCTCCTTTTAATATGAAGAGAAGTCATATTGGATTAGGGGCCTATCCTACTCCAGTATGACCTCATTCAAACTTAACTAATTACATCTGCAGTGATTCTGTTTATAAATAAGGTCACATTCTCAGATACTGGGGTTAGGACTTCAGCCTATGAATTTTGGGGGCAACACATTCAACCCATAATAATGGACGAAATGAAAGATGCAATTATTGAAATAATTTAGGGAAAAGAATAAAGTTATCCCCATTTGTTCGATAAATCCAAGTCAGTAAGACAAAAATGGACTACAAGGGACAGGCTTCATTTTTGTCCTTAGAGCAGACCTGGCTTGGACCCAAGAGCAGATTTTAACCACGCTTAAGTTTAAACACCATTTACATCAGAATTTTAATCAAACTGCTGAAAACTATTTGTTTCTCATAGGGTTCTAGAGTTCAGGGGGAGGGGTATGGTATGCCTTTTATTTTAGTCCTATCACGGGCCCTTTTATCTCACGTAGAAAGTATGCAGATTCGGCAATAGCTAGAGAGACATCAGTGTTTTTCTTGTGCATCATGATAAACTTAAAACTTATGAGACTCTCCTCTGTTTTTGTTTTTTTTTTGTCTCCCAAAGGAATGTAGCTGCTAGTACTTAGCTTTTCTTTTGTGTTACACATGCATAGAATTTTTATTTATTTCCTTTTTAGGACAACCATTCTTGGTAAATGAAGTTATTCATTCAGTTAACATTTAATGGTTGTCTGTTGTAAGCAGAATGTTTTTCTAGGTACTCAAACAAGACTCTTTGAGGTTGATGCAAGATGTGCTTTTAGCAACAAACAGTAGAGCTAGGTCAAGTTGTTGGTATTTTAAGCATGTGATAGCTTTAGCTAACTCAGATTTTCTTGCACTTTTTACTGTGTTAATTAATTCTCATTCATTTATTTATACTCATTTGTAGTACTTTTAACCACATGCCTGTTAAAGATGCTTCTGTTCAGTCCTAAAATATATGGCTGGATTTTACATATGTTAATTATTTGAAAGAATATAATCTACAGTTTCTGTAAGTCTTATTAATAAAACTTCTAAAATTTATTTTCTTCATTTTTCTCTGCAGGTATTTGAAAATGCAATAGATCCTGGGGCTGTAGCAGATCTTTTGGAAAGTAGGTACTCTTAAAAAAAAATTAAAATACTATTATATTTTAATACTATTAGTACTTCATATTAAAATGCTCTTGTACTTTAATACCATTTAAAAATACTATTGTATAATTCACAGTTATAAAATTCTGCTATTTTTTAAAATTAATATTTCCATGTTTGATTCATATTTATATTCAAGAGAGTCTATATAAAATTTGAATTAGGTTTTTGATTCTATTAAAGACCCTTTTCTAAATATAGATGGGATTTGATGGATGGTACAATTCTGTTTGTTTGTTTACTTATAAAAACAAACATTATTCATTCAGTTAACATTTAATGATTGTCTGTTGTAAGCAGAATGTTTTTCTAGGTACTCAAACAAAACACTTGGGTTGATTTTTGTATATTCACAGAGTTGTACAAGCTTCACTACAGTCAATTAGATGATTTAATCAATTAGCACATTTTCATCACGACAAAAAAAACCCCTGAAACCAGTAGAGTCACTGCCTATTCCCCATCACGCCTTCCTGCTATAGAACCACTAAACTCTATGTCCCTATAGATCTGCTTATTCTGGATGTTTCCTATAAATGGGATTGTATAATATGTGATCCTTTGTGACTGGCTTCTTTCGCTTAGCATAATGTTTTAAAAGTTCATTCATGTTCTAGTGTGTGCCAGTACTTTATTTTTTATTATGGCCCAAAAATACTCCATTGTACGAATATACCACATTTTATTTTTCCACTCATCAGTTGATGGACATCTGGATTGTTTCCACTTCTACATATGCCCACACAAAAACTTGTGTGGGCATATGTTTTCATTTCTTTTGGGTATGTACCCAGGAGTGGATTTGCTGGGTCCTACGATAACTCTATGTTTAACCTTTTAAGGATAACGGATCGCAACCCTCAGTGTTGCCCCCGTACCGGACCGGGGACCAGCGACGGGATCGCAAGCCTCGGCATTGCTCCCGCGCCTCGCTCAGCCAGTGAGCGGGAGCCGGTCTGTACGTGGGATCCGAACCCTCGGACGGGAGCGCTGCCGCGCTTCCCAAGCGGGCGCACTATCCAGTGTGCCACCGGGCCGGCCCAACAGCTGAATTATTTTACATTACACTAGCAATGTATTAGTGTTCCATTTTCGTACATCCTGGCCAGTACTTGTTGTTATCTGTCATTTTGATTGGAAACCATCTTTGAGGGTTTGAAGTGCTATTTTATTGTTGTTTTGATTTGCATTTGCCTGATGATTAACAATGTTGAACATTTTTTTTATGATTATTGGCCATTTTGTATATTCTTTGGAGAAATGCCTATTCAGATCTTTTGCCTACTTTTTAACTGGGTTGTTTTTATTTTATTGAGTTGTTATTTTTCTTTATATATTCTAGATACAAGTCCCTTATCAGATATACAATTTACAAATATTTTTTCCCATTCTTTGGATTGTCTTTCACTTTCTGGATGGTATTGTTTGAAACACAAAAGTTTTAAATTTTGATGAATTCCAGTTTATCTATTTTTCTTTTGTTGCTTGTGCTTTTGGTATCATATCTGAGAAACTATTGCCTAATTCAAGGACACAAGGATTTATACCTATGTTTTCTTCTAAGACTTTTAGTTTTAGCTCCTAAATTGAGGTCTATGATCAATATGTGTTGATTTTTGTAGATGGTGTGAGGTAAGGGCCTAATTTCATTCTTTTGCATATGGATATCCAGTTGTCTTAGTACCATTTCATAAAAAGACTATTCTTTCCCCCATTGAATTGTCTTGGCACCCTTGTTGAAAATCAACTTACTGTAATGTGAGGGTTTATTTTTAGTTTCTAAATATTCTATTCCATTAATCCATATGTCATCATTATGCCAACACACAATCTTGATGACTGTAGTTTTGTAGTAAGTTTTGAAATCAGGAAGTGTATGTCTCCCAACTTACTGCTTCTTTTTCAAGACTTTTTTTTTTGCTTTCCAGGGTTGCTTGAGTTTCCATACGAATTTTAGAATTAGCTTGTCAATTTCTGCAAAGAAGTCAGCTAAGATGTTGATAGGGATTGCATTGAATCTATAGATCAATTTGAGGAGTATTGCCCTCTTAGTGTTGTTTTCCAATCATGAACATGAGGTTTTTATTTAGGTCACTTACAGTTTATTTTCAATGATGTTTTGTAATTTGCAGTGTACAAGTCTTGAATTTCTTCTATTAAATTTATTCTTAAGTATTTTATTGTTTTTGAGGCTATTGTAAATGGAATTTTTGAAAAATTTCATTTTCAAATTGTTTATTTGAAGTGTATAGAAATGCCATTGATTTTTCTATACTGATGTTGTATCCTGCAAACTTGTTGAACTCATTTATTCTAGTAGTTTTTTGCTGATTCCTTAGGATTTTCTATAAACAAAATCATGTAATCTGCAAATACAAATTTCACTTCTTTCTTTAAAAGTGTGTGTATCTTATTTCATTTTCTTGTATAATTTCCCTGGCCAGAATCTCCAGTACAATATTGAATAGAAGTGATGTGAGCATTCTCGTCTTGCTCCTGATGCTAGGGAGAAGGCATTTAGTTTTTCATCATTGAGTGTGACATCAGATGTTGGTTTTTTTATAGATGCCCTATGTCAGGTTGAGAAAGTTCCTTTCTGTTCCTAGTTTATTGAGTCTTTATCATAAAGGAACATTGAATTTTATCACATGATTTTTCCACATCTATTGAGATGATGGTGTGGTGTTTATACATTCGTTTATTAATATATTTATATCAATTGTAAATCTCACTTGATTAAGGTGTATAATCCTTTCTGTATGTTGCCGGATTTAGTTTGCTAGTAAATGTTGAGAATTTTGGGTCTATAGTCTTAAGAGATATTGGTCTGTAGTTTTGTTTTCTTGTAATGTCTTTGTTTGGTTTTGGTAATACTGGTCTCATAGAATGAGTTGGGAAGTGTTTTCTCTTATTCTATTTTTTGAAAGAGTTTGTGAATAATTGGTATTAATTATTTAAACGTTTCACCAGTGAATTAAAGAATTCACCAGTGAAGCCATCGGGCCCTGGGCTTGTCTTTGACTTGATTTTTGATTACTAATTTAATCTCTTTACCTGCTATAGGTCTCTTCAGATTTTCTTTTCTTCTTGAGTCAGTTTTGGTAGTTTGTGTCTTTTTAGGAATTTGTCCATTTCAAATGAGTTATCTAAAGTTTTGTCAATTTTGTTGATCTTTCTAAAGAACCAACTTGGGATGCATAGATTTTCTTTATTGTTTTTTTCTTCTCTATTTCATTAATTTCTGCTTAATCTTTATTATTTTCTTCCTTCTGTTTGCTTTAGGTGTAGTATGTTTTGTTTTTTGGGTTTTTTTCCACTAGTATATTGAAGTGAAAAGTTAGTGGATGGTATGATTCTTAATTACATTCTTAAGCTTTATGAAATTTTCAACTGAGATTTCACTCAGTTGAAAGAATTAGGACCAAGGTCACAGATAATAGCAAAATGTAGAGAAAGGAACAGAAAGAAGCAAGTACCAGGTGAGTGGAGGCAATGCTTGTTAGAGGACAGAACCAGAAGTAGGCTAGGTACCAGGCTGACATACCAGGTGGGTTAAGGAGTTTGAAATTAGACAGAGAGTGAGTCATTGCCTACAGAGGTAGGGTAGTTACTGAGCAGGTGTTCCAGAACAGAATGGCAGAGCAGTAAGGCAATGGCTGAGAAAGCCAGATGGATAATAAGGAACTAGAAAATTGACAGGAATGAAAGGTTAAGGTAAGGTGGAAGAATCAGAAACAGTGAGTGGGACTTTGAAGGATTTTATTAGATGTAGGCATACTCTTACGGCACAGCATCCACAGAAAACCCTGATTCCTATTCATGCTGTTCACTGACACTGGAGACTCAGGAAGAGGAGTTGGTATGGGGGTAGTTTAACTCTGGACAGGTTGAATTTGGGATGTCAGTGGGACATCCAAATGGAGATGTCCAGTAGTGACATATGTAAGATTCTGAAGCTCAGGAAAAAGTAGATGTGGTCTGTTGATAGAGATTGAAGAGTCTTCAGCCTGTAGGTTTTAATTAAGACTCAAATGAATGACATGGTCCAGGGAGTAAGCACAGAAAAGGCCCAGAGACAACGTGGAGCAACAACAGTGGCAGATTAAGGAAGAGGAGTCTGAGAAAAAACAGTCTCAAAAGGTCTCCACAATAAGCTGTTTTCTAAATTATCAGGTTTAAATATATTTCTTTGAGCACTAACCCTGTGTGTCTCAGGAAGACATCAAAGAAATTGGGTATAAAACACCCCCCACAGAAATGAAGCCTTTGAAATTTGTCCTTTTAAAAATAGATGTAAAACCCAAGTTGATATACTGCATTTAACATTAACATGTCCACCTGGATCTTAGGAAAAAGGAGGGTGAAGCATCTCTCTGAGATGGGTCACATCCATAAGAATGCTGATTCCTTCAAGCCTCTTTAAATCCAAGAAAAAATTCCGCATTTCAAATAATCATACAAGAATTAGGATCTTTTCATTTTCATTCCCAAATATTAACCTTGGGTGATGGACCGAAGTATTAAGAGAACATGAGCATAGTTCTGTAGGTCACTTATTAGTGATTTACTCTGTCCTTGATATTTTGAAGTATGTTATGTCATTCCAGCAGGTAATTAAAAGCTGTAGGTATTTTATAAAGCATCCTAATTAACTTGTTCTGTGGAAGAGTGGGATTTTTCAGTGAAGTATCCTGTGGGTAAGAGCATAGGCCCTGGGAGCAGACCATACGGGTTCAAATACACTCCTGTCACTATTAACTATGTGACTTTGCCCGCCATAGTATATTTTCCTCTTTGAGTTTCCTCAATTGTAAAAATGACAACAGTCATTATACTGAACTCATAGGGTTGTGATGAAGTTAATTGAACATAAGGAATTTAGAACTTAAAACAAATTAGTGTGATGGTTGGCAAATATATATTCCCTTCTCCCATTTTGAAAGCCTAAAATTTTAGGCCATCTTGGCTTTTATGTTTCTTGGCATTTAAAGTTTTGTCTTCATGCATTCATATATTTTTCATAAGTCTACAAAGTGTGAATTTTAATTTTATTGTCTATTTTTAAATGTTTTCACTTCTAATATTATTTTGTGGGAGTTGTCTTTATTGATTTTTTACTGTTATATCATTTGTCTTAAGTTCTCTTTCAGGTTTGTATTTTGTTCTTGTCCTGTGGACATTATACATGGGTTCACTATTTCTAAATATATTTTGAACTCAAGAAATATTTTAAAAGTTGTATTTTGTCTAATTTGTGTAGTCATATATCACACTGTTTTAAGCAAGATAAAATTTTATGTGTTAATGGATAACAATTGTAATTTGAATTTTTAAGATGTAAAGTGAATTGTCTTCTTAGTGCTCTGAATACACTTTTAAGAGACAAAGTGTTGTAACAGTTTTGTCAGCAATTTTCCGGAGGTGAAGTTATATTTTCAGTACTGTTACTCTTACCCCACTCCCTCAATTTATTAAGTCTGGGGACACCTGAGTTGTTGTTGGTATGACACTTATTTTTAATTATTATTATTAATAGTGTAAATGGGATGTTATCATAGTTTTAAACTTAGCAGTTAATGAAAAACTGTGGCACTTTTCTGAGTTAAAATCTCATTTTTTCCTTTTAGGCTTCGTAACCAGGTTTGAATTAATACAGCTAGTGTCTCCAGGTAATGTGCCAGTAAATGCATTTCTAAATTAGCTTAATTCAATTTAAAAAGGATTTTGGAATGACAGAATGGGGACTGGTATTTAAAAGTTGTGCATTTAAATAACATATAACTTTATACGTTCATGTACCATATACTTTTTTTCCCTTATCAATCTACTGAATTTTGTCTACTTTCAGAAGAGTAACTTTATGGGGTTTAGTGGCAGTGAGCATAACTTAAACAGGCTTTTTGACTTTTCATTTTTTTGTAACTCTATCTAATTATCACCAAATAATTTTTTCAGTCCTGGCTCAGCTTCTTCCAAGGTTTAGCCTTTGGTTATGTTCTAAATTTGTGATAAGTGTGTGTAAGGCACAAAGCCATCTTCTCTGTTAGATGCTAGAACAGGGTTGGTAAACTATAGCCCTCAGCCAAATCCAGCCCATAGTCCATTTTTGTATGGCCTGCGAGCTAAGAATGGGTTCTATGTTTTTTATTACAATACAATTCATATACTGTAAAATTTATCATTTTCAAATGTACACTTCATTTGTTTTTAGTATCTTCACAAGGTTGTACAACCATCACCTCTATCTAATTCCAGAACATTTTCATTACCCCAAAAGAAAATCCATACTCTTTAGCAATCAGTTCCCATTTCCTGCTTCCCCCAGCCCCTGACCATCATTGATTTACTTTCTGTCTCTAATGATTTGCCTATTCTGGACATTTCATATAAATGAAAGCCTGTGATATGTGGCCTTTTATGTCTGGCTTCTTTCACTTAGCATAATGTTTTTAAGGTTCAGCCATGTTGTAGCATGTATCAGATTTTAATTCCTTTTTATGCCTGAATAATATTCTTTTGTATGGATATTCCACATTTTGTTCATGCATTCGTCAATTTGTGGACATTTGGGTTGTTTCTACTTTTTGGATATTATGAATAACGCTGTTATAAATATTCATGTACAGATTGTTGTGTGAGTATTTGCTTTCAGTTCTCTTAGGTATATACCTAGAAATAGAATTGCTGGGTCATATGATAATTCTGTTTAACTTTTTGAGGAACTGTCAAAGTGTTTTTACATTTTAAAATGATTGGAAAAAGTTTTTAAAACAATAATATTTAGTGATGTGAAAATTATGTGAGATTCAAATTTCATCATCTCATCCATAAATAAAGTTTTAGTGGAATACAGCCATGCTTATTCATTTAAGTACTGTCTAAAGCTACTTTTTCAGTGCAGTGACAGAGTTGAGTAGTTGTGATCAGATGGTTTGCAAAGCTTAAAATACTTACTGTTTGGCCCTTTACAAGAAAAGTTTGTGACCCTTGTGCTAGAATCATGGGACTTCAGGAGGAAATTGTTCTGTGGTGCTTTTGCTTTGTGGTGTGTCTTGAGTGACATAAGACCTGAGCTGGTGAGAGAGAGTAGAACGTGCCACCTGGTAGCACCAGTTCTTGTGAATGCGAGTCCCTCCTTACCCGTGGTTTCAATTTCCTCAGTTTCAGTTACCCCCAAGCAACTGAGGTCTGAAAATATTACATGGAAAATTCTAGAAATAAACAATTCTTAAGTTTTAAATTGCACACTACTGTGAGCAGTGTGATAAAATCTCACGCTCTCCAGCTCTGTCCTGCCCAGGATGTGAATCATCCCTTTGTCCAGTGAATCTATGCTGTAGACACTCCCAACCTATTAATCACTTAGTAGTTACCTGGGTTATTAGATCCACTGTCACAATATTGCAGTGTTTGTTTAAGTCACCCTTATTTTACTTAATAATGGCCCCAAAGCACAAGAGTAGTGATGCTGGCAATTCAGATATGCCAAAGAGAGGCTGTAAAGTACTTCCTTTAAGTGAAAAAGCGAACATTGTTGACTTAATAAGGAAAGAAAAAAAATCATATGCTGAGGTTCCTAAGATCTACAAGTAAGAATGAATCCTTTATCCGTGAAATCGTAAAGAAGGAAAAAGAAATTCATACATAATATGTATAGGGTTTGGTACTATCTGTGGTTTCAAGCATCTTCTGGGGGTCTTGGAAAGTAACCCCCTTGGATAAGGGGGGACTACTGTAGTCTCTCAGTGTGGCTTTTTGGTGATTTTAGAGTTGTCTGCATAGGGGTGTGTGTGTGTGTGTGTGTGTGTGTGTGTGTGTGTGTGTGTGTGTGTGTGTGTACCTAAAACTCAGAAAATTATCTTCTCATCTTTGCTATTACACATTTCTGCCTTTTTCTTTTCTCGAAATGAAAATAGCTTCGTAGTTTTTACTTGTTGTAAAAAGCATCTCCCAAATCACATCATCCTGAGAGAACCTTTATTTATATTTTGGTGACTGTTTCTTGATCTTTCTCTGTAGATAGAAGAACATATAGATATGCAATTTTTACATAGGGTCACATACATTTTCTTTGTTACTAGCTTTCCCCCATTATATGTCACTGTTATATTGTTATTTCTAGAAGCATAGCTCTACATCATCATTTTCTTGTTGTTTTCTTTTTTTCTTATTATTTCTTACATCATTATTTTTGATAGCTATAAAAATTTCATTAATTCACTTATATGTTTTTATAGGTCTATAAACAATGTATATATAATATTTTCTTACTTTTCAATGCTACTGTGGTTTGCTTGTCATTTTTCAATAGCTATGTATTTTTCCATAGTGTTGTTATCTTTAAATTGATATTGTTGAGCATTTAAGATTTTCTCTGTCTTGTCTTTCACATTTTTATAAAAATTGTTTTTCTCACTTGGTATATTTACGAAGAATAGAATTACTAGATTGAACTGTGTCTTGTAAACCAGGGGTAAACTGATCCCCAGTAAGTTTCCATTACTTCTACTACATCCAGTAGTGCATAGCGTGCCCATTCCCCATGTCCCAGTTAATGCTGGATATTATCATTTGGTTTCATTATGTTTACAAGGTATGTAATAATTTCTTTAAAATATATTTTACCATATTTTATGGTCCCTTCTTTTTAGATATTATTTGTGATAACCTTAAATTTATAATTTTCTTCTTAAAAATTTCTATTTTCTCATATTATGATTTGTTTTCTTTTTTTCCTTCTGTTTAAAGTGACTGTCAGTGTCCTTTGATTACTTGTGGAGCAATGTCTGGATATAACCATTATATTTTGGTATAAATTCCTGATATTTTTACTGAAGTTTTTAATCAGTTATGTTCACTACCTATATATTTCCTCTGTTTTGTTGCATTTTGATATTTTATTGTGTGAACTTTTCTTTTTCTTAAGAAGACATGGGAGAAGGAAAGTGAGCATGGCAGATGCCTCAGCTAAAACAGAGGTGTCTGTGGAGGCTTTTTATGCGGATTGTAGCCCTGCCTGCTATGGATATCACTGGAGCAGGTCAAGGGCCACAGTGAAGTATGGTGCCCCAGGAGTCTATAGTTCTTTTTTCTGCTTCTTGGTTCTTTGACAAGGGCAGGCACTGGGAACAGACAGGAACCCCACTCTCTATGAATCTAGTGATAGGCAGACACACTTGGATATGTCATTACTTTCTTAGGTAGAACAGAGCAGATGCCTCTTATCTATTTTTTGGAAATGCTCGCTGAATGTTTTTCAGACTAAAAGTGACAGGCTAAAATCAGGGCATTGAGTTTTTTTTCTTATTTGACCCAATTTTATGTTCAAATATACATCACTGCTAACTGGAAAGTTATATTTTAGCATGCTAATAAAGTAGAAGCATACCCATGCTGTCTTATTTAATTTTGCAAAAATTAAAAAAAAAATTAGCCAATACCTAAATAGTCTCGCTGTAAAAATTGTGACTAAAATAAAAGTGTAAAGAATAAAAAGTCAAAAGACCCATTTATTAACAACCCCCAACAGATAATTCCTATTGATGATTTGTTATATATCTTTTTAGACCTTTTAAAATGCATTCAGTATGTATAATGCACTTTTATATTCAACCAACCCTAAAATACACACACACACACACACAATCCTATATATGCTAAATATATAAATATATAAATGTATATACTAAATATATTTAGTATGTATGGGTGTATGTGTATATACATGTTGATGTACATATTCTGCAACTTATGTTTTGAAATTTAATACATCTTGGACTGCCATATGTTTTTCATGTGATCAGAAATCCGTTTGTGAAGAGGTTGCAAGCACAGTTGTTTGAAAACAATGATGATTGGAGATGTTCAAGCTGGGCTCATGCATACTGGTTATAACTGAAGAGTTAGAAGCAAAATGGGAGCTTTATTGTACTTGTTTTCTTTCTGTCCGCAATCCTTCAATTTCAAATTGTAACGTTAGTGGAATTAAATTTGAATTGCTCAAAACGATTAATTTTACTCAGCTTCAGATGCAGTGCAGATCGATCCATTAACTTTTTCAGCATATATTATTGAGGGTGTACTTCGCACAGTCTACACTGTGTCAGTCTTCCTGGTATGATGCTGGTAGCACCAGGCACCTAGTGCTGGCAGTGAGCCCTCACTATCTGCTGCTCCTTGGTAGTAACTAATTGGATAAAACGATTTGTCTCATCTGGGGTCACATGGGCCACATTTGGATTCTCAGGGATCAGTTTCTTCATTGGCTGAATTGTTACCTTTTCGTTTTGCTGTAGATATTACTGTATTGTTTGGTATTTTTTCACATTGCTTTCAAACACACTTATTATATTCAAAAGACATATTATGACCATTAAGTTAACAATATAAATTAATAATACAAGTAATAATCAGATTTGCATATGGCTTTACTACTGAAGAATGAAGAGGCTCCATGATTTTGCTTTCAAGAAATAAAGACCCCTTTGGTTATTCAGTTTACAAAGGTGGGAAAAAGTGAATGGACACAGTGGGGTGGTGCAATTCTGTTCAGCAGTGAGCTTGGTGCTTTCTTTTTATTAACCTCATTAATGAATACTTTTACTTTGCATAAGTCATATGTGTTCAGTCCAGTTGTAAAATCCTATTTTAGAGGACACCTATTCACTTAATCAGAACTTG